GCAAAGACACAGCAGACCAGCTAGTGCGCCCCCACCCCAGCAGACCAGGCTTTTGTTTTGGACCCTGGGGCAGAGCAGCTGGGGCGCTGCCGGTTGGCCTCTTAAGGGGGGGTAGTCTTATACGGCGAGTATAGGTGAAAACCTATGTTTTAACTAGAAAATTAGGGGGTCGTCGTATACGCCCAGTCGCCTTATACGCCGGAAAATACGGTACCTTTTGGAGACATCTGCCCACAGCTAAAGTTTTGTGTTTACACCTTAGCCTTGTACAGCCAACAAAGTGGGGGAGGGAGCTGTATTTTAATTCTCCTCCTGCCTCGTGCATTATTCTAATCATTTACATCTGTGCCAATAAGTCCCAGACACTGGGGCTACACAGGTGCCTGAAAAGGTGAATCAGGAGGGAAGAACCTGACTTGAGTCGGAGGTCAGAGAATGCTTTTGGGAGTAGCTCCCATTTAGTTCAGTTGCAGGTATTAAGAACCTCTGAACCATGGAGCCTCTAGCAGGCCTGGCCAAAGAGTTTGCGGGGCCCAAGGTGGCACACTGTGGTTGGCTGCACTGTGTGACCGGGCGGCTCCCAGCCAGAGCAGTGAGTGAGCAGCCGGGTGGGCGGGTGCCGAAAGAGTTTGCGGGGCCCAAGGTGGCACACTGTGGTTGGCTGCACCGTGTGACCGAGCGGTGAATGAGCAGCCGGGTGGGCGGGTGCCAGGCAGCACAGGCCCCTGAAGGCACGGGGCCAAATGCAACTGCCTTGCTCTAAGGCCGGCCATGGCTCTTCTTGAGTAAGAAGGCAGTGTGGACGGGGAACAGGGGTTTCTTGCACAAGAGAGCATCCACACTGCCATAGACGCTCTTGCGCAAAAGCACGTGGCAGCGTGGATGCACTCTTGTGGAAGACCTTTTGCACAAGAACTCTTGCGCAAAAGTTCTTGCACAAGAAGACTGCAGTGTAGACATAGCCATAGAGAATAAAATCCATGGGTGATTGTGTAGCATGTGACTTTCCCTTCCTGGGGAACCACTGAGTAGGAATAATCTCTCAGGTGAGTGATCTCGCTGGTGATTATTCTATAAACAGTAGTCATCTCCTAACTTTTGTTGGATCTTTATAAAGAAAATGGCAACACTACACTTTGGGATCCAAGTTTAATAAGATAGATCTGCCCAAATTCCATGCTCAGAATACATGCATAAATGCACAGTCTCTCCCTTTTCCTTGAGGTGTCAAGCTATTTGGACTTCAGTGTTTGGGCCCTAAATATGCTGATATTTGACGGGAAACTTAACACGTGCTTCAGAAATACTAGATGCTTGAAACAACACAAAGGTCAGTTATAACCTTTCTTTTAAGGAATAGGGAACATGAAA